GTGTTTTCGGTACATTAAGCATGAATGTTTGCTGAAATTAAAGATTTTCTTCTTTGCTCTACAAGGCAGGTCATGTCTGCGGGGATAACATTGACTTGGTGGACGGCCAGCCAACCGGATCTGTTCGCGTGTCCTTCGGCTACATGTCCACGTTCGAAGACTGTCAAAAGTTCCTGAAGTTTGTGGCGGAGTGTTTCGTGGAGAAACCCGTCACGGTAGACCAAGTGAGGCTGCAGAAGCTGAGAGCAGCCAGGGCATCATCCGGGGGATCAAGTGAACACCCTTCAAATGAAATTTCTAATGGAGAAAACCACGAAGGAGCTGAGAAGAAATCCTTAGAAGTGTCTCAGGGAGGATTTAGACACAGAGAGTCAAAAAGCCCCACGGAGGCTTACACCCTGACCAACATCTACATATACCCCATTAAATCATGTGGAGCGTTTGAGGTTCGAGGACTAGGCACCCTTTTTTTTCACTCCATCAGGTCTTTTCTGTGTCTTTCTCTGGATTTGCCCGCCTTGATTGGACTGTTCTTTATGCAGGTGCACGACTGGCCGCTGGGACCGCTGGGTTTACTGTATGACAGAGGCTGGATGGTGGTAAATCAGAACGGCGTGTGTCTGAGTCAGAAGAGAGAGACGCGTTTATGCCTCATTCGCCCGCAAGTCCACCTCCCCTCGAATAAATTGTTCCTGCAGGCATCAGGTCAGAGAGAGTCTCTGCGTGTCTCGCTGAGAATAAAAGCCTCGCTTAACAAGAGAAGTCTCAATCAGATGAATTTCCTTCAATGCATTTGTAAAGAGATTTTCCCTGCCCCCTCCCTTCCCTTCCTGTCCTGCAGGGATGGATACCATTTCGGTCCCCCTGGAAGACGACGCTGGGTTGCACACAAACTCTCGTGTGTGTCTGAGTAAAGTTTGCGGTGACAGGTGAGCGGCAGATGGATAAAAAAAACCTGACGGGGGAAGAAAATACCCCCACACGTTTCCTTTTGTCAAACGTTTTTCTCTCCTTTCTTTGCAAGGCCTCCTTCTCCCTGCTTCTTAGTAAAGTCTTGTTACCCACTACTTTTTATAGCAAAACAAACAATGGGAAAGAGATATTAATCTCCTCTGACATATCCCCCACATGACATGTCACCATGAAAAAAAGCCCTACTATTTATTCTCTGATTCTTTGGATTAGATGTTGCAGGGAACGGCACAAAGCATGAAAAACTGAGGAAATCCCTCCTGGGGCTGCTGAAAATAATCCTCTTCTGTCCCCCAGGGTAGAAACGATGGACTGCGGAGACGAGGCTGCATCGTGGCTCTCAGACTTCCTTGGACAGCCATGCCGCCTGATAAGACAACGTCCTGATTACACTCGAGGAATGAAGAAGAAGCCAGCTGAAGGTAGCTACAGTCTATTACGAAACTCTCCATCATCTCTATTGATTGACTCAGGGGATGCTGGAAGGAAATCTAAGCTATATTTGTAGACTATTTGAACCAGAAGATGTCATTGCATCATGTGACAGAAGGGTATGAAAGGTGTAACGTTGAGATGTTCTGTATCATCTATATAAAACTCTCTGTTGTGTGATTATTAGATAGAATGTGTATGGAAAAGGATTAGGGCCACTGAAAAAAAAAAGTTAACTGATTTTTAAATTTTATTTCAGTTTAGTATGGGGAAAAAAAGTCAGAATTCTGAATTTAATTTAAATTCAGAATTCTGACTTTAATCTCAGAATTCTGACTTTAATCTAAGAATTCTGACTTTTTTACTGTCAGAATTCTGAGAAATTAATTTTGAGATTTAATCAGAATTCTGAGATTAAAATCAGAATTCTGAGAAAAAAGTCACAATTCTGACTTTTTTCCCATACTAAACTGAAATAAAATTTAGTAGGCTATATATATATATATATATATCAGCTCAAACAAGGAGTGTACAAATAAGTGCAAGATGCTGCGCTGCATAAGTATAAACAGATTTATCATTAAAGGTATACTATGCAACCGGTGTTGATTTTCCAGCGAGGCTCCCCCCAGAGGGCGAAAGTAAAAG